CATATGACACACAACCCGATAGGCCATAACCAATACTCCATTTGCTGAGCAACACTCAATCACTCTTCCCGCTCGACTTCCTCTATGAATCTCAAATAGGACCGCACCACATGTGCCTATAGCCAACAAGTCATGACATCCCACAGCACAGAAAGCAACTCATAGATCTCCCCAGATCCCTAAACAAGCTCAATAACGATAGATCCAACCTATCCCTCAACAATACAACTCGGGACTAACCAAGCTAACTCAAGCTAAATACGTAGCCACATTGGCCTGCCAACGAGCTCATTATCAAGAAGCCTGAAGCTGCTCCTTCCACTACTATAACTCCTGTCGGAGCCGTACAATACGGTGCCCGGCACCAAATCAACATCGAAATCCACAACCTCGCCCGGCAACATGCCCGGCCACAAGGAACGCATCCGAAAAGGTCACTCAATACCGGAACTGAATCAATGGTAGAAACCTCTGCACTGACATCCGTTGCGAAGGCCCGATTAAGGAAAGCAATCCTTCTCAGCCATCCGCTGAATCTTTTGAAATATATACCAGTCTGCAAGAACATAATCCAATGCACCTTGCCACTCAACCCGTGGCATTTCCGGCATAGCCCGTAGTACAATAGTCTAGAATAATCCAACACTAAGACAACCAGTCTACAATCCAATATCATATCCAAAATCTGGCATACCAAGCAAAGAAAGATCCACTCGGACCTCTAATTCCCAATAACCGCTAGACGGTGCCGATACACACGATTTACAACAATTGCATAGCCTGAACACGAGAACTCCTAGTCTCCAACTCCATATAGACACAAATCACTATACCTGATCCCAAATTGCGTCGTACGAATACATATCACACCTCAAGTACCCAATCATCCCACGAAAGGTATTCTAAAGTTTCCCTGTGCCATCAAACAAACTCAGATATCAACAGTCGATCCCAAATGCCGCAACACTACCGAAGTATTATCAGTTTACATCACATTGCCCTTTTACTGGAACATATACCCCCGTCGAATCACTATGGTTGGCAATACCATTTTCCTTAATCATTTGAAGATCGATTCTTTAATCACCTGCAGCTGCCCGTGCTGCTTAAGAATTTAATGACTTTCCATTATGAACAGAACCGTAACCTTACACACACCAATCCCAATCCTCCACCACATATCGCATATACCATACCGCACTAGTATAACATGAGAACTCCATCTCCCTTCCTAACCACAAACATCTACGTACTCCACTCGTCAAGAACTCTCCATGAATCCCATCAAGAAGAGAAATCATTACACATTCCATGCTTCGCATGCCCATAGGCAATTTATACGCCTCTAAACCACGGTAAAACTTATCAAGAACTCTCCCCCAATTCCATTGCACAAGCTAAACTGCCAGGACTGAATTTTTCTACCCGAACCAAGCTAAGCAAGCTGTCAGAACTCAAGAGCCTTGCTGCACAATACCTGCAAAAGCCCATTACCTCGAACACATACGAAGAATTAATCACATCCTTACCATACCGATTCGGTCTACTATCAAGCTATTCCATCTATCTAATTTCCCTTTTTGATTCATCATCCACTTGATATTTCTCCCTCGCTGTAGCATCACAATGCCTCAATCCAAGCTTACCACACGAGACTCGAACATAAGACCACACTGTCTAAGACCCACAGGCCATTGAATACTCTCTCAATTGTTCCCCAGAAATACCACATTCCAGAATACTTCACTCTGAGAACTATCTACGAATCTAAATTGGCTTCCTTTGCTTTCCAGGTGTCGACACATAGGATCCCATGATCAACATAAAAATACCACAAGTCTTGACATTTTCTATTGAAACACTGTCTTTAGTCACATACACCACCTTAAAACACCTGAGTGCTACATATAGATTCTTGAACACATTAAAACCATTCTCGAGAGTCATTCTCTCTTATACAACTGTAATTTACCTGACTTAACGAACAGAACCATTCGTGCTTTATTGGCACTCCGATACAGTAAAATGAGACTCCCATCCCAATACAACCAAGCACTTCCTGCTCTATGCACCGAGCATCCTCTACCAACAACAACTCTAGACATTTCGTAATTCTCATACCCTATTGAACATAATATAACCTTTGTCGAAATTTTGCTTCACTCGTGCCATCCTCGGCTCAATCTGTGTAACTAGAACTAACTCGCCAGCATACCTCGAGACGTACCCAACATAGCACATAACCGTGCAATCAGCTAATCAGTAGCAACCTCCCCAACTTGTCTCGAAGCCATATATCAAGACACACTTAACAACTCATAACACTTTTACTCTAATGATGCCACAATGTCATAGTGAGATTAAACTCAAATCATCTACAAGTTTGTGAAAACACAGATCATCTAGTACTGTAATCCCCTACAAATCTCGCATTCTTCTCCACATCAGCTGAGTCCACCCTCTAGAGCGACCCGAATTTATCAACTTTCAACTCGTACTCTTCAATTACACATGAGATCTTCTAATAATACACATAAGAATCGTACCACTTAAGAACACTCTGCAGGAGATAATCCACCTGCTCCACCTCAATTTAGTATTTCAGCACACCTTCCACCATCACATACGTTACACAGTCAATTTAGTCTTCCTGCGTCTGAACTCATACCACCACATGTAATGCACTTTACTTACCAACTAGGAGACACGAAAATATTCTTCACGTGCCCTTAATTCGGGCTACACATCAAATCACAATAGGAATCGAACACTTAACAGTTCATCTATTATCCAATAGACCTCTTCGTCACTACCAAGTCATATAGATACATCTCACAATTCTAACATACTCAGCAAATGGATATCTAACCGCCATTCCGGCTAATAAGGACATTACCGAACATATAACCTTGCTCACACAATCAGCACCTCAGTGCTCAAGCCATAGGAAAAGATCCAGCCTCAAGTCCTCCAGACTGGCCCAACATACTCACGAAGATCACATCTCGCCCCTTGATCGGGGAATCGCAAGCCATCCAGGCACATATAATACTGAGCGCTCACGTGCGCATACAGACGTGTGGAAGGAATTTCAAGAGTTATATCTCAAGCTGAATCAAGTACGCACGATAAGAATTCCAAGAATGGGAAGTTTTCCTAAAGGTTCTGCAACCTCTCGAGGATAAATACAGATGTCTGCGTACCGATCCGCGAGACTCTACTAAACCTGCTCATGACTCGTGAGACCTAGTAACCTAGGCTCTGATACCAACTTGTCACGACCCAATTCCCATACCCGGTCGTGATGGCGCCTCTCGTGAAGACAAGGCCAGCCAACTAACCCAAATCCTTTCACTAACAATTATTAAACATAAATGAATAGAAGATACAACTTAATGGCATTAGAAACTGTTAATTACTACCCGACCAGGGTGTCACAAGTCACGAGCATCTAAGAAGTAGGAACACAACAACAGGGTCATATATATATATAAAATAAAATCTGGAATCTAAAAGACGAAGTACAGTGCCGCGAACGCTGGCGGTCACCTTGCTCAGCTACATTAGTAATACCTTCAGTCCGCTAATCACCCGCTACCGGGTGAACATTACCTGCAACTGCACGCGAGGTGCAGGGAGTAAAGTGAGTACTTCCAACTCAGTGGTAATAAGAGTAAATAATAACTGAGAGACAAGAAATCACGTAAGAGCAGTCCATCATGCTATATAGGACAGTACAACCCTTTGAGAAAACAGTAAAAACCGTGAAAAATCCTTTAGAAAATATCTGGCTCAGTTTAAAAACCTCTTTTGAAAATATCCTTTTCCAACAGTCAAGCAAATGAATGCGTATTCAGATAATGCAAGTCCGCACATAAGTCAGCCCCTCGGGCACAGCACTCCACTAACAATTAACACCAGGGCGTCTGGTAAACAGTGCAAGAAGTAGCATGAATGCCAATGAAATGAGAGTGCTGAATGTCATGACACGTAGTACAAACAGGAACCGATGCATGAATGCAATGCAATGCACATGACCGCTGCGTCGCGCAGCCCGATCCATTTGGGTACCCGCGCTCACTATGGGGGTTCAGACTCCGGAGGGGCTCCTACAGCCCAAGCGCAATATCATCATAGCATCACTGCGGCGTGCAGCCCGATCCATCCTCAGTCCAGAACATGCAAATGAGCCACTCGGGCAATGTCAAGTAATAGCTTTTAACTCAAAACATCAGAAAATGCAATTTAAGTCTTTAAACTTTAACAATATGACTGCACATTTCAAAACAGGGTTTAACTCAGGACTAAAATCATTTAATATGATAAGTGTCATGAAAACAGTGATAATAATCCCTAAAGGATTCAAATAATTGGCACGAAGCCCAGAACATGGCAATCAACCTAAATCACGATAGCATCTAGTAGGTTTCAGTCAATTACGCAGTAAAATCAACAACCGGGACGGACCAAGTTGCAATCCCCAACGGTGCTCTACCCCACGCTCATACCTGGCGTGCAAGTCACCACAATACAGCACTATGATGTGCAAATCCGGGGTTTCAAACCCTCAGGATATCATTTACAAGTATTACTCACCTTGAACCAGTGAAATCCCTAGCTCGCAACGCCTTTGCCCCTTGAATCGGCCTCCACGCGCGTCGAATCTAACCAAAATCAGAGCGAATACATCACAATATGCTAATGGAACACTACCCAAACGAAAACAATCAAAAATTAGCAAGAACCTTGAAACTAGCAAAACCCGAGCCCCGGGCCCGCTTCTCGAAAGGCCTATATTAACTAGGCCAAGTCTGTGGACTAGGTGTATTATGCAGTGAGTCAAAAGGGGGCTAAATCTGCAAATAACTATAAAAGCAAGCAAAAATAAGAATGCAAAAGAACTAGGTCGGCCCATTATTTTAAAGCCCAACATTGAAAGGAATCGGAAGGCCTCCACCTCGTTACACTCATTAACCAAAGCTTCTCTAGATACTGAAGTAATGGTTTTAAACGAAGGCGATGCTGACGACAAAGCAAAGGTCATGCAATCTCTCCCGCTTCTCACTCTCCCATATCTGTATCCTGAACCCTCCATGATCAGTTCCCCAATTCAGGTTTTTCTTCTCCTTTAAGCAATGACAGTTTGTCATTGCCATGGTATGTTGATAGTCATGCAGAACAACAAATGATTCACTCTCCGGCAGTTATAGAGACTTCGCACTAGACCAAGATCGTGATGTCTAAAGTTTGCAAAGCTTTTGGGGTTAATTCAGCAGGTTTGAACACGAAATATTTGACATGGTGCTGGGAATGCAGCAAAAACGTAAATCTCAACTTCAGCAATTAAAGGGGAAAGGAAGTGCTGGAAAAACTCCAAAGAAAAAGGGCGAGATTATTGCCAAAAAGCTGGAATGCTTAGTTAATTATGATAGAGGAAGTAACTCAAGCAGGGGCAGGTTTTACAAAGCCTTCTCTGAATGAAGGCAAAAATTATAAGCTAGAATATAAGGGGGTTCAATGATGTGAGCAAAAGAGACACTATTAAGTCACTTATTCAAAATAGAGGCCAGACATCGTATGCCTACAAGAAATAAAGACTAAAAATTTCTCCGTGTCAATGGTGAGGCATGTATGGGGTTCAAGGTGGAACTTAAAGCTAGTGGTACTAGGGGTGGCATTCTAATCATGTGGGACAGGAGACAGTGGAGATGTTTACACTCTAATCAAGGTCAACACACTATCTCAGCTATGTTTGAAGGCACCAAGGTAGATTTCAGATTTTGCTTCTCAGGTGTTTACGAGCCTCATACTAACTAGGAAAGGGTTGACCTTTGGAATGAATTGGCGGATGTAAGGGGTCTCTTGAACGAATGCCTGTTTATATGGGGCAACTTAAATGTTTGTAGGTTTGAGAATGAGAGATTTAACTACATAAGGAGGTCAAGAGCCATGAAAAGCTATTCTGATTTCATTTAAGACATGGGTCTGGTGGACCTTCCTTTGTAGGGTGCCTCTTATACTTGGCATAGGGGGGAGGACTCTTTACAAGCCTCTAGGATTGACAGATTTCTGCTCTCTTATGAGTGGAATGAATATTTGGCTTTGTGAAATAAAGAGCATTGCCAATGGTGGTCTCAGATCATAAGCCAATTGTCCTAGAAAGTGGTGTTTGGTCATCTGACCCCTCTTACTTCAAATCTGAGAATATGTGGTTGAAACAAGAAGGGTTCCTTGACCCAGTGAAGCAATGGTGGCAAAGTTATATTGTTAATGGCTCCCCTGATTTTATTTTTGCGCAGAAATTGAAACTATTAAGAAGGACTTGGCTATCTGGAACAATGAGGTCTTTGGCAAATTAAGTACCAAGATCAACAATGTATTGGAAGAGCTACAGATGCTAGAGCAGGCTACTGAAGGGAGAGAACAAACTCTAGATGTAAATAACAACATCCTGAGGTTGAAGGTGGAGATTCAACAGCTAGCTAAGACTGAAGAAACTTCTTGGAGAAATAAATCTAGATGTTTGTGGTTGAAAGAGGGTGACAGGAACACTAAGTACTTTCAAAGAATAGCTAATTCTAATAGAAGTTACAACCACATTGATAGATTACAGGTAGGTAAGGACATCATTAAAGACAAAGAGCAGGTGAAGGAGGCGATTCTTGATTTCTACCAAGAACTTTACACTGAAAATGAAGACCGGAGGCTTACTGCCACCTTTGAAGGTCTAGGTTGTTTGAGCTCTGTTGAGAAAGAAGAATTGGAATATGATTTTGAAGAGGAGGAAGTTCGATATGCCATCAATTCTTGTGCACCTGATAAGAGCCCAGGTCCTGATGGCTTTAGTATGGCGCTTTATCAGAAGTGTTGGGACACTTTAAGGCTTGACATAATGGGAGCTCTTAGTCACTCCATGCCAATTTCCACATGGTTAAATCCTTTAATGCATCCTTTATTTGCTTTTGTCCCCAAGAGAAAAGGTGCAATTGAGCTCAAAGACTTCAGGCCAATTAGACTGATAGGTAGAGTCCACAAGATCTTGGCAAAAGTACTTACAGAAAGGCTAAAGAAAGTGATTGGAAAAGTAGTTTCAAGCTATCAAAATGCCTTCATCAAAGGCCGGCAGATCATTAATGCAGCTCGTATTGCAAATGAAGTGCTGGATTGGAGGCACAAAAGTAGTGCTCCTGGACTTCTATTCAAGATGGACATAGAGAAAGCCTTTGACAAACTCAAATGGAAGTTCCTTGTCTCAATTTTTTGGCAAATGGGATTTGGGATGAAATGGATCAAGTACAGCTTCACTACTGTGAAGTATTCTATCTTGGTCAACAGAAGCCCTGTAGGTTTTTTCTCTCCTGAGAGAGGAATAAGGCAATGGGATCCCTTATCCCCTTTTCTCTTCATACTGGCAATGGAGGGACGTAGTAAAATTGTTGAAAAGGCCAAGCAGTTACAATGGATAAAAGGTTTCAAGGCAGAGCTCCAGGTTCCCTAGTCAATGTATCACGCTTACTGTTTGCTGATGACACTCTAATATTCTGTGGTGCAGAGAAATCTTAGGTTCAATACTTAAATCTCACACTCATGCTCTTTGAAGCTATGTCAGGGTTACACATCAACATGTCCAAGAGCATTATCTACCCTATTAATGTGGTTGCTGAACTGGAGGAGATGGCTGGTATTATGTTCTGTAACTCTAGTGCTTTCCCAACAACTTATCTAGGCCTGCCATTGGGTGCCAGACACAGGTCGATAGAGATCTGGAACGTGATCATTGAAAAATTTGAGAAAAGATTAGCCTCTTGAGAGCAACAATATCTCTCTTTGGGAGGTAGACTAACTTTAATTAACAGTGTCCTGAATAGCGGTCACAACCCAAAACTTGGCCTATCGTGATGGCGCCTAACGTGGTACTAGGCAAGCCGACACTTCAAGAGTACTTCCACATTTCTAAATGAAAAATAAGAATAACACATGTTTTAATCAATAAAACTCTCAAAATGGATAGAAAGTCAAAACCAATACAGAAATTCCCAACATCGGGGTGTCACTGAGTACATGAGCATCTAAACTTCACAAATCTGGGAGTACTATCCATAATTGTCCAAAAACTAAATACATAAAATAGAAAGATAGGGAAGGAGAGACAAGGTCTGCGAAACACCGGGCAGCTACCTTGGAATCTCCAAAAGATCAACTGTGCAAAGGAATCAACACCCACCGCGTTCGGAAACACCTGGATCTGCACACGAAGTGCAGGGTGTAGCATGAGTACAACCAAATCAGTAAGTAACAAGACTAAATAAAGGACTGAAAGTAGTGACGAGCTTCACAGTTATAGTTCAATTACAGTAATTTCAACATAGGAAGGTAGACATGCTTTCAAGTTTGACTATTAAGGCCAAAACAGTTAATTCATGCCAATATCAATTAAAACAAAAGATAATATCCCTCAGAAATTACAAGAAAGTGATATACGACAGCTGAAGTGCAACAATAAAGAAGTCAAATGCATCCTCTCAGAGCAACAGTCACTCAGTCCTCCCATTCACTCCAACCTCACCATCACTCACTCCTCGCAGTCACTCATTCCTCTCAGTCGCTCAGCACTGGGCACTCGACACTCGCACTCGCACTTAGTAGGTACCTGCGCTCACTGGGGTATGTACAGACTCCGGAGAAGCTCCTTCAACCCAAGCGTTACAAAAAGCCAATCATGGAATAAATCAATGAAACATGCTGCTGCGTGCAACCCGATCCCATAAATATCTTCACAATAAGGCCCTCGGCCTCACTCGGTCATCAACCTCTCCAGTCTCTCTGGCTCTCAATGTTCATGAAATTCAGCCTAAATAGAAATGATATAATGTATCAACAACGAACAATAGAGACTGAGATATGATATGCAAGTAAAACTGTGACTGAGTACAAAACAACAATTTAGCATATAATTCAACATATACGTGGCCTCTGTGGGTTCCTAAAATGCCAACACATAGTCTAAACATGATTTGTAGCTCAATTTCTATAACACATGAAGAATTTACGGATAACAACATATTATTCAACTACACGGTTCCATGGAATGAACCAAGTCATAGTTCCTACGGTGCACGCCCACATGTCCGTCACCAAGCATGTGCGTCACCTCAAAACCAATCATAAGACACATGGTACGAGGTTTCATACCCTCATAACAAAATTTGGAACTGTTATTTACCTCAAACCGCGCAAATCTCTACTCCAACACACCCTTGCCTCGCGAATCGGCCTAAAAAAATCCCGAATCTATCCACATATAATATTATACAATCAGCACGGGCTAAAGGAATAAATTCGATAAGAAAATACTAAGTTATTAATCAAAAGTCAAAAATCAACTCAAAAGCCGGCCCCCAGGCCCACATCTTGGTATCGGGTGAAAGTCACAAAACCCGAAAGCCCATTCAACCATGAGTCCAATCATACCAAACTTACCAAAATCTGACATCAAATCATCACCAAAATCCCCAAATTTGACTCTCCAAATCCCTAGCCTCAAACTCCCAAATTCCACCTTAAATACGCACAAACTTGGTGGGAAATTCAATGGGGAAACAAGATTATTGATAAAAAATGAGCACAAGGGACTTACTTCAAGAAACCCTCAAAATTCCTCTCAGGAATTGCCCAAACTCGAGCTTGAAATGTTTAAAACGAAGCAAAATCGCGAACCCTTATATTTAAGTGTTCTGTCCAGCATTCTCGCTTCTGCGGCCACTTTAGCCGGTTCTGCGGCACCACTTTTGCGGTCCATCCTCCCCATCCGCGGAGGACACTAAGCCTCCCAACCACTTCTGCGGTCGAACCCCTGCTTCTGCAAGCGCGCATCTGCGCAAACAAACCCGCTTCTGCGGACCGGCCTCATCACTCCTAGTTCCGCTTCTGCGACCCTCCAAGCATAGTTGTGAGTCCGCACCTGCGGAATACCTTCCGCATCTACGCTCCATAGTCCCTAGTCTAATCCTCCGTATCTGCGCAACAGAGCCCGCATCTGCGAGCTCGCACCTACGATCACAACTCCGCAGGTGCGGTTACACCAGTAGAGTCCCAACTTCAGCAATCTTTCAAACTCAACCTTTGATCCGAAAACTATTCGAAATCAACCGGCCCTCGGGACCTCAACCAAACATACCAATAGGCCCTCAAATCACATCAAACAACATCGAAAACACGAATTTCACCCCAATTCAAGCTTAATGAAACTAAGTAAATCCAACTTCCACAATCGATGTCGAAACCTATCAAATCACGTCCGATTGACCTTAAATATTGTACACAAGTCACAAATGACACCACGAACCTACTCTGACTCTCGAAAATGGAATCCGACCCTGATATCAAAAAGTCCACTCCTGGTCCAACTTTCCAAAACTCCAATTTTCGCCATTTCAAGCCTAATTCAACTACGGACCTCCAAATCACAATCCGGACACGCTCCTAAATCATAAATCACCCAACAGAGCTAACGGAACCATCAAAACTCCATTTTGGAGTCGTTTACTCATAAGTCAACACCCGGTCAACCATTTCAACTTAAGCTTTCAACCTTGAGACTAAGTGTCTCATATAATTTCGAAATCCCTCTGGACTAGAACCGACTACCCCGGAAAGTCACATAACAACTATAAGGTACGAGCAGTAAATGGAGGAACGAGCTACAACTCTCAAACTGACCGGCCGGGTCGTTACATCCTCCCCCTCTTAAATAAACGTTCGTCCTCGAACGAGTCTAGAAACATACCTGGAGTCTCAAATAGGGTCGGATATCTACTCCGCATCCCCCGCTCTATCTCCCAAGTAGCCTCCTCAACTGGCTGACCTCTTCACTGCACCTTCACTGAAGCTATGTCCTTTGACCTCAACTTTTGAACTTGCTGATCCAAAATGGCCACCGGCTCCACATCATAATTCAAATCACCATCCAACTGAACCGTGCAAAAATCCTAAACATGAGATGGATCGTCAACATACTTTCAGAGCATAGAAATATGAAATACTGGATGCACACTCGACAAACTAGGTGGCAAGGAAAGCTTGTAAGCCACCTCTCCATTCCTCTGAAGTACCTCAAACGGCCCAATATACCGAGGGCTCAACTTGCCCTTCTTCCCGAATTTCACAACACCCTTCATGGGCGAAACCTTAAGAAGCACCTTTTCCCTAACCATGAAAGCAACATCACGGACCTTCCTAGCGGCATAACTCTTCTTTCTAGACTGCACCGTGCGAAGCCGATCCTGAATCAATTTAACCGAGTCCAAACCATCCGAAACCACGTCAGTACCCAATAGCCTAGCCTCACCCGGCTCAAACCAACCCACCGGAGATCAAAACTGTCTCCCATACAAAGCCTCACACGGAGCCATCTGAATGCTTGACTGGTAGCTATTGTTGTAGGCAAATTTTGCAGGCGGCAAAACTGATCCCAAGAACCCCCAAAATCATTGACACAAGCGTGTAGCATGTCCTCCAATATCTGAATAGTGCGCTCGGATTGTCCATCCGTCTGAGAGTGATATGTTGTGCTCAACTCAACCGGGTTCCCAACTCTTACTGTACTGCTCTCCAAAATTGTGATGTAAACTGCGTGCCCCGATCTAAAATAATGGACACTTGCACACCGTGAAGGCGAACAATCTCGCGAATGTAAATCTCAGCCAACCGCTCCGAAGAATAAGTAGTCCCAACTGGAATGAAGTGCGCGGACTTGGTCAGCCGATTCACAATCATCCAAATAGAATTGAACTTTCTCGATGTACGTGGGAACCCAACTACAAAATCCATGGTGATACGCTCCTATTTCCACTCCGGAATATCAAGCCTCTGAAGCAACCACCCGGTCTCTAATGCTCATACTTCATCTGCTGACAATTGAGGCACCAAGCTAGAAACCCCACTATATCCTTGTTCATCCTCCACTACCAGTAATTCTGCCTCAAGTCCTGGTACATCTTCGCGACACCTAGATGAATGTAATACCGGGAACTGTGGGCCTCCTCAACAATCAACTCACGTAGTCCATCTACATTAGGCACACAAATCCGACCCTGCATCCTCAGCACCCCATCATCCCAAATAGTAACATCTCTGGCATCATCATGCTGAACCGTGTCCTTGAGGACAAGCAAATGAGGTTCATCATACTGGCGCTCTCTGATGCGATCATATAAGGAAGACCGAGAAACTACACAAGCTAGAACCCGACTGGGCTCCGAAACATCTAATCTCACGAACTGGTTGGCCAAGGCCTAAACATCAACTACAAGTTGTCTCTCACCAACGGGAATGAATGCAAGGCTACCCCACACTCACCGCCTTCCTACTCAAGGCATCGGCCACCACATTGGCCTTCCCGAGATGATACAGAATAGTGATATCATAATTCTTTAGCAGCTCCAGCTATCTCCGCTGCCTCAAATTTAGATCCTTTTGTTTGAACAAATGCTGGAGACT